ATCCAGAGAAGGGTCTTCAGGTTTGGCTCACGCGGGTAGGCGCGGCAGGTTAAGCTCATCCATAGCTTCACGATGAGACAGGATTCCTGTGAGGCAAAAACAAGCAAGAGTTAGAATCTTATCTCAACCAGAGATAGTAAAGATTCTCAGGTGCTAACCAAACTAGATCAACACTGCGGCGTTGAGGCAAGGTCTGAAGGCAGGTTATATAATGGTGGATCCTCTGATGATGAGATGGGCCACAGGTGTGTTGGGAGCTCAGCTCAGGAGGACCCACGGCGAACTCTGCTGGAGGAAGGTGGTACAGCTCCAGATCCCAACAGTAAGCATCTACCATAAGGTGTTAATGTCCATGCCCCCCCACCAGCTCAACAGGCCCCGAGGCCCCCCAGCACACCAGAGGCTCCGGCAGCACCGCACAACTAGGCGTACACCGGTCCAGACCCCAAGCAGCATACCCCACAGAACCCGAACCACCAATGCACCGCCGGGGCAGCCGTCTGAGGGCAACACACCCCAGGGACCCCAGACCCCCGGACCAACCCAGTGGCAGCCCAGCTACCAGGCCAGTAACCCACATCTGTCACCACGGAACTCCCCAAGAGCACCTCAAGAGGTCGCTGTAGGAAACACCGAGGCATCTCAAGTCCTGCCACGATGGGGGAAACAGAATCCAGGGTCAGATCCAACAGGCACCCCGCTTCAAGCACCCCCCAGAGCCCCAGTACCCAGGGACCCCAGAACCAGCCCCCACGCCCCACAGGACATGTCCCACAGCCTCTAACTCCAGTAAGTGATGGAGTCGATCAAGGGAGCCCAGAGACATCGGTCTGATGCGGATGTAGATGCTGTCTCAAGATTAATTTAATCCAACAACAGATCTCTAAACTGACTGATGCTGAGTTTTTCCATACTTTTTCAATTTATGAGGATAGTTTTCTTTGCGATACATAATGCAGTGAAAGCTATTCAAACTGTTTTTTTTTTCCCCAAAGAGCTTCCCTCAATGTCTCCCAGCAAGCAAACATATGGGGAAGGTAGAATTTTACAACTCAGGCACTTTGATAAGTCCTTACAGATCTGTACACAGAACCTCTGAAAGGGCGTGCATAACCATAAAGTGTGAATATAGTTATCAAGTTGTTTGCTTATGCACTGTGGAAGGATATTAGATTGTGCAAATCCCATCTTAAATAATCTTTGACCTGTATAGTGCACTCTGTGGAGGATTTTGTATTGTATTAGTTGTAAATTGGGGTTTCTAGTCATGTTAAAAGTTCTTCAACATATTTGAGCCCAGATGTTATATTGCGTATTTAATGTAGAAAATGTGATAAACTCAGTACCTTCAAATAAATGATCCAGATAATTAATGCCTTTATTCTTCCAGTAAGGAAAGTTCATCATATTATTGTTTTGTAGAATGTCAGGGTTATTCCAGATGACGACTGCACGGCATAAGAGATTAAATCATAATTCTAAGAAATTCCCACCATGCTGTTGGGGAAGAGCCATTTGACATTAGAGCTAATAAACTGCAAATCTGAAATTATGATATTACAGCATATATCCTGTTCTGTGTCTATCCAGGGCTCAACTAAGGGATTATGTTTTATCCATTTAGAGATGTATTGTAATCTATTTGCTAATTAGTAGTTTTGGAAGTTAGGTAAATCTAGTCCCCGTCTGTCTTTAGTTTTCTGTAATGTCTTTAAGCTGATATGAGGGGGTTTGTCCTTCCAAAGAAATTTAGAGATGGAAGAATCTAGAGATTTAAACCAATCGGGTGATGGTTTATTTGGGATCATTGAAAATAATTAGTTAATTCTAGGTAAGACCATCATTTTAATTGAGGCTACCCTACCTATAAGGGAGATCGGAAGCGATTTCCATCTTTCTAGGTCCTCTTCTATTTTTTTTACAATCGGGATGTAGTTGAGCTTTGGTAACTCAGCTAATTTAGATGACACAAAAATTCCCAAATATTTGATATCTCCTGATTGCAATTCTAGACCTGTAGACCTGAGGGAGAGCAATAATTGGTAGCAGGGGCGTGCATACATAGACACAAGGTGGTGCTAAAGCACTAGGAAGTTTGCCCTTTATCAACGAAAATGCCCATATGAAACTCATTTTTTTTATTATTATTATTATTATTAATATTATTAAGATTTTACCGAGGTCAGTTTTGAAATGATCAAAGCTGAGTAGCTTTGCCTCGTCTGTTCCTGTTTGGCTCTGACGTCATCCTGGAAAGAAACATCAGCTGTGCTGCTTCCATCAAC